CATTCAGACAAAGAGAGACAATAGTATTCCCAAGGAGGGTTGACGTCAGGCAGGCGGCCGGTCGTAAAACTTTTGCCAAATCCTATCAGCAGTACAGAAGATGTACTGCGCCGACCCCAAGTAATTGGGAAATGGGCAGGGAGAAGAAGATATGCATTTAGTAAAAAGCTGTTATTTTGACATTACAAACAGACACTTCTATTTTATTTATATGTATAGATGAAGATGAAGGTAGTATATTACTACGAGAATAAACTGTCAAAATTTTAGCTCTGTAGGTTTTGCTATAGTTTTTTTATATGTGATATTTTTGCTAAATTTGAATCAATTTATATATAGTTTTTTTATTAATACTATATACATATTTATATTAAGCCTTAAGCATAGAAATTTTCTTGATATTTATCAAGAAAATTTCTATGCTTGAGGTTAAAAAGAATAATTAGTTTTAAATGGGTTTAATACCTGTGCACCTTTGCAGTTAAAAAGTAATTACTGTATACAATTCTAATAAGAACACGCGAATGCAACCCTTATTAAAAGAAGGCATTTAAAAGGTCACGACGCCTTTCACAATGTGTTGGTATTCGTGCCGTCGATTCATAATAATTAATGTATGTTAGTTTCAATCGTTCTATGTATGTATGTACATGTGTACGTCAGTGGCAGCACAGTGGTAGCGCGCTCGCTTGAACAAGCGAGTGAAGCGGGTTCAAATCTCGGGTCGCACCTCTAATATTTTTATGTACGACTCATTTAGAGAAGAATTAGGGGTCGCCACAAAAAAATAAAAAATAATATGTACCTAGGGACGCCGGTGCCCGAGCAAAGCGAAGTCGCAAGTATTAAATAAAGTAAGTTACAAAAAAAGCTCTTAATTTATATCAATATTCATTTGTGGTTACACGATATTTTTAAATTACACTGAAACATTTTTCCAATTAAAATAAATGAAACCCGTTCGTATAAAACATTTAATTTAAAATATACTCGTAACATGGTACTCATTTGGAACGTAAAATAACAGAAAAGATATCTTTCAAAGCTTAGAAAAATATTGAAAAAAGTATTATTTCAGAGACTGCTTCCGACATTTAATTACTTTAAAGGACTATGCTATGCCTTACAAATCACCATCTAATGAAATATATAAATATTTCCACCGTTACCGTATACCATACTGTTGTGCCCATTTACTAATCTTCTGTAAGATAACGACAAAACGAGTATAAAACATGGGTGTGTTGGCTTTGAATAACAACGGACTGGAATATTCTGAAAATAAATTACCTTTTACATAAATAATGAATAATAAATGTACTGAAATTCAAATTTCTAAAGAGCTTTGAACTAAGCTTTTATTATCTTTACTATATAATTTCTACTTCAGAAACCTACGCTGCGATTGTTAGAGTTTTACCTCCAACACTCAAATATGGGCAAATCGAGGCCGAAATAAAGTGACAGAATAATCGCTAAAGGTAAGAAAATGATATTATTCTATGCACTAGCGACTTACCCTCGCTTTGCTCGGTGCATCACTGGGTGCGCGGATTTTGTTCACAATTTCAAGTGTTTTAATTGAGCGGTACTCTTGATTCTTTTTCCACAATAAAAGTAGCTTAAGTTACTCTTTAGAATATCAGCTATCTGCTAGATCCAAACATGAAAGTCCCGTCAAAATCAGTCCAGCCGTTTCGGAGATTAGCCGGAACGAACAGCCATATAAATAGAAAGAAAAAAGTTTTAAAAATTGATTTTTTCTTATAAGTATCGTATATACTTTCATATGTACTCGTACCTATATATTTAGTAAAGTGCTGTTATTTCGACTTTACAAACAGACACTTGAATTTTATTTATCTGTATTGATAGTACACAGATGTATAGGGGCGTCTTCTATCATTGATAAATAGTAGAAGTCCTGCATGTGATGAAGTTATTTTTGTAAAGAATACTTACTTGTGAACCATTAACAATAAATAAATAATCGCGGTGACAGTCGACGAGGGCGAAACAATTTCCGAAATACAGCGACAAACGACAAAAGGTTCAAGGCAACCGCCCGCGGCTTAGCTTTTGTGTTTCTCCAAGTCTGAAAACTACTGAAACTGACAAGAATTTTTGAAATCTCACAAGTACTGATTGTTAACGTTCATATTTGAAGACCTAAGCTGTAAAATTTCAACTACTATTTCTAGGTTTCCTTTGAATAAACTAAATTCATATTTTTATTCAGTGTATCCACTTTTTAGAATTTCTAAAGAATGCATATTTTTAAATACACTGTTTTATATTGAAAATAGTAATCTAGTACTTTAATTTTATTATAGAATTATGGCCTCACCCTCTTCAAAATGATCTAGGTATCGAAATTAGCAGTTTCCTATTTTAAATGGAGACTGAGTGATATATATATATATATATATATATATATATATATATATATATTTATATATATATATATATATATATATATATATATATATATATATATATATATATGTATATAATACTTTGTCCTGGCTGACTGATGGATCAACGCACAGCCTAAACCGCTGCTCGTAAAAACGTGAGGAAGACGTTTCCTTATATGATGAAGGCATCCGAGATAAGAAAGGATTTTTCTAAAATGAAACTTGTTTCCCATATGTCTTTAAGAAATAATATGAAAGCTTATTTTTGCAAATAATTAAGTATTTATTGCGAAAAAGTTTTTTTTTTCGTAGTTTGATCGCGGGCGAAGCCGTGGGTTCTGCTAGTATGTCATAAACGTACTACACACTATCACATCTCAACACGAACTATTATAAAGTCATCGTATCTTTGTATGTTTGATTGTTGAACAAACAATATTGTACACATATTTTTTGGAAAGATCTTAAAATATCACTTTTGTTAACTGGTTCAAAATTCCAAATAGTATAGAATTTTCCTTTACACAATTTCTTCCTGCACTTGTTCATATATTTTTTTTATTATAGAAGCTTAATATTTAACAACTATTTATATTCCTCTTTAATATTATTCATTTGTACATTCGATTTTATTTAATTAACCAGCAAACATTTTGTATTTATTATTATTTAAACCCTAATTGATTTAAAGCTATAAATTCAACATTCAATTAAAATTTGCAAAAACATTTTTGAAGAGTTTAAATTGTACGTTAAGTTCATTAGTAATACACTCTGCTACATACACAGTACGGATTTGTTATCTTTTGTGTAATTTATTGAGTTATGTGCTCAAATATTATTTCATTTATTACTGTTCATTAGTATTTAAAAGTTATCAACTCTCGAATGTGTTTCTAGATACCTTTGGATTTCAGTAAGGATATCATGGAGTAAAATAATTAATGTAGTAAAATATATGTGAAGTTTGGTGTATTTCTTTTAAATTTTTGTTCTCAGTTTAAAAAATGGTTAAATGCAAGACAGTTTTTTGCAATAACTCGATTCCCCGTTATGTAATAATAAATTATTTTACGCATTAAATCATAATATTAAGCACGTGTTAAACACGTGAGTTTATCCAATTCAAAAATTAACTATTTTTTGCATTAAAGAATATCACAAAAAGTTTTAGATCAAATCTTATGCAAGATAAGACGATCAACTTTACATATGTAAAAAATTATAATTATATTATAATTATATATTATTATATTATATTATTAACTTTACCTATATAAATATATATATATATATATATATATATATATATATATATATATATATATATATAAACTTTCTATGATGTGCTATGTATATCCACTCAGTAATAGGTATTTCCAGCCACTGTAATGAAATTTCCTGTTTTGTTTATTCCATATTGTTTATTTATATTATATGTGAAAGGTAAATTATACTTGTCAATAATATTTTAATGAATGGATGACACAAAGTTAAGTGGTATGACGATAATTGTCCCAATACTCATATACATATTATATGTAATATATGTATATTATATGTATAATGTATATCTTTAGGAAGACGGCGTGCATTTCCATAAAGATATAATATATAATCTATTATCTACTACTGTTATGAATGCGAAAATAGCTAATTCACTTTTCAATGTGATTTCTATGAGCTAGATTATAGAATACTCTCCAATCTATAATCCCTTATGTCACTACATTAGCTATTTTTCTGGTACCTATTGTAATAATTATGTATAATTTTATTCTGTTACAAAAATTTCTTATATTACCTAAATGAAAGCTAGAGAGGATCACATAGACCTAAAGCATGTAGAAAGTTTCTCCTCATGGGTTAATTAGCCTGAATGCCTTATTAAACCATGACGAGAAACTTTTACACGTTTTATTTCTGTATAGTATATGAGCGACTTGCCTTCGCTTCGCTCGGGTTCGTCCCTAAGTAGGTATTAACGGTTGTATAGAGTACATAGACTATATATTACATGATATATAGCCTATAATAATATATAATGATATACATATAGTGTATAACCTTCCTCAATAAACGGGCTATTTAATGCAACAAGAATTTTTCTAATAGGATTAATAGTTCCTTAGATTAGTGCATTCAAACACACAAACTATCAAATAAACTCTGCCTCTTTATAACATTATATAGTATATTCTACTAGTGACTTACCCTCGGTTCGCTCGAATGGGTCCTTAGTTACACCAGATTATAATCTATCTGTATGTCATCCGTCCATCATGCTATTTCAGCGTGAAGAATAAACATACACACAAAAAAACGTGTGTGTGTACGTATGTACGCACGTAAGAAGTTATACTTCTTTGGCGTAGCGGGACAAAAATAGCTAAAGATTTCATCCCGTAACTCTCTGTTTGTAAAAGAAATGCAGCTAACTTTATCACGTTGCTTTTTGGCTGTCGGTGTGCGCGCGCATCGTAAAAATTTGACTCTCATAATGTTTTCCAAACGTGCCAAAAGAAGTATAACTTCAAAACTTAGCATTTGTAATTATGTTTTAAATGTGGCTCCTTGTTTCAGACAATATCATCACAAGTGACAGCGATATCAGTACTGTCAGTGATAATATTCGTGTTGATGATCGTTCTGGCGATGGCGTTGTTACCGGCGGCGGCAGAGTGGGAAGCGCTCGCGTTGACAGGCTCTATACTTGTCACTATATGCCTTGGTACTGGCACATTAATGGCTACGCATCACGCACCTTTGCCGCTATTTGCTCTTATATTGGTAAGTTAAAATTCTTTCGACTTTAGTGCTAACTTTTCACTTTTAGGTCACTGTATTCCTAACAATTTTTTTGAGGCATTATTTCAGTTAGACCTGTATGCGATATATGTACCATAGTGAATAAGTGTTTATACAGACACATTTCTATGTATTTGGCTTGGATTAAGTAAAATCCTACATATATTTCTATATTTTAGCTAAGTTTGGGACTCGAACTCAGGGTCTCATAGTTCTCATAGTTTATTAAGATAGGAGGTTAACTTTACAAACATTATGGCCATCTAGAAAAATTGATAAGATTTGACTTTTTGATTTCACTTACTTCGAAGAAAGTGGGTTCAAATTCTGCAAATAAAATAATATCGAAATTTAAACAATACAAAATAATATTGATCTTCGTTTTGCTTACAGTAATTATTAAGGTGTCAATTTCGACAGGTTGTATTGAAAGTAGACGATCTAATACTGTCAAAAAATAAAATGTAATAGAGGTCAAGGATAAGGATCTTTACAAAGTTTAAGTGGAAACAATTTCTTGTTGAAAAGTTAATTCACTTTGTTCCATACACTTTCAAAGTAATTTAAGCATAAGCTGTAAGTGCTTTACACGACGTATAAGTTAATACACTGCCCAAGAAAACTTTACACTTCTAACCTTTCTCAGAGAAATGTTCTTTGAAATAAAAAAAAAGTGTGTTAGTAAAGTAAAATATGTATGTAAAGCATTCAAGACGTCAGAACCAATAATCTAAATAAAACTGAAAATTTGTTATATTTTAATAACGAATATACGAGTAAATCTAAGAAAGTACTAATATTCGACTGAACATGATATCATTGATTACTCGTATTTAATAATTAAAAAACATATTAGAAACAATAAAAATTATAAGTCCTTATTATACTACCACGTATTATAAATACGATTTTTTTTGTTACTAATGCAAAATAAGTAACGAATTGATATGAATTTAACATAGATATTATCTGAATTTCGAAGTTAATTTTTATTTTGATCCATCGAAGCTTCAAAAACCTAATAAGGGACGCTCTGAACCGAAATACCTACTAAAACGAGTGAGAAAATAAACACATATTGGAATAAAATTTAGGCCTTAAATTGTAATACAATTACGTCCTTCGCCTTATTTCCATAGAATTTGAACTAGCCTTAAAATGAACAAACAAACAACCCGAACGAGATAAATGAACTAAAAACCCTTACGACGGCTTCGCAAGATAAATGACCATAGAGAACATTTGGATGTCATAATTGTTATGTAACTATTAAAATATTTTGAGGACCCTAAAGGGGTTGAGAACATGAATATTAATGTAAGCAAGTGGATTAGTATTTATTTCTAATAATAAACTAGGTACTGCCTGCATCTTTGCCTGTGTATATGTATATCTAAACGCATATATTTCTTACATTTTATATGAGTGAGAAGGCAGTGTAAACCCAGTGGTAACACGCTCACTTGGGAAACCGAGTGTAGCTTGTTCGCACTTTTAATATTTTCATGTGCGAATCATTTCCTACATTACCATTGTATTACATTTGTATTACGATGAAAGAAACCTGCACCTCTGAGAGAACGTAGTAAGTTTTCGAAGGACATGTGAGGTCTGCCAACCTGCAATTTGCCAACGTTAAATAGGGCTGAATACGTATATGAGTGAGAACGGTATCGGATTTTGTAAGCAGAATAAGATGAAATTTAAATTATATTTCTATTAAAAATGTATTACTTTTACAGTAAAAAAGTTGATGATGCGGAGTTAACCAATGTATTAAATATTTTACAATCTGTTATATGTTTGATATTTCCTAATACGATTTTATTTTTTGGCTACAATACACACTACAAAAAAATATAGATTTTCCTGGAACTGGAGGATGTTGTAATAAATAAAGAAGAGTATAATATTATGTAATTTCATATAATTGAAATCCATACACTCGAAACAGCTCGAAACAGCATACAGTTTCCCACAAAGACCGTTTATTATTAGGATACAATTAACCGTTCTTGAAAGGCTAAGAATGGGGTGCGCTTTAGCCCTACATATAAATCCAGTTTACAATATACTTTTAGTCTTAAATTTTAATACTAAAATTATAATTATTATAAACTTGTAATTATTAATTAATACAAATGCCAGGTGAAGTCCGCCAACCCGCACTTGGCCAGCGTGTTGGACTATGGCCTGATCCCCCTCGTATTGAAGGGAGGTCCGTGCACAGCAGTTAAAAAGGGCTGCATACATACTTAACATAATACTGAAAACCAACCAAAGTTTGTTACTTTTTGTCATAGTCTATATGTATTCTGCTATACTGCTATTATGTTTTAGCATGAAGGAGTAACATATATATATACATACATAAAAACTTTCGCATTTACAACAGTAATGTAAACAACCAATTTCATAGCGAAGTTATTGGCTGGTACTATTAGTGGAAAGAAAAAAAAAACTTAAATTCAAACAATTCAAACTGAACTTGACGATGGACTAATTTAGTTCGTGCAAACTTTTTATAGATGTTCTGTTGTTTAATGCTAGTCGTGTTCAAAGTTTTCCTTTTAAATTAATCTGGAAATTGATTTTTAACCGGTTATGGTTTCTTCTTTATGTAGGAACATAAATTCGTAGTTCTTTGATAGATATTTCAATTTGCTTTATATTCAATCACTTTGTAAGATTGGCTTAATTTATTATGAAAGATAATTTAATTTTTAAACGATATCAATAAATTTTCTATGTATTTTCAATTGCAAAGTTCTATGAATATAGATAAAGATATAATCAAATGGAATAAAATATGCTTAATCCTTAAACCTCACTATCGTAAAAATAGCTGCTTCGGTGGTCTAGTGCCTAGAATACGGCTGCACACCCGGAGGTCCTGGGTTCGAGTCTCAGGTCGGGCTAAGTTTAATTAATGAGTTTTTCTGTTAAAATATCCTCAAAAACAGCCCGGAGTTGGGAAGTTGGAGGTGTTGAAGTCACCCCCGTGCTACGGAGTTGTCAGTGAAATTGGTTAGTTAGGGAGATTGATCGCCGCAGAAAAAATCGGTCTAGTGGACATTAATATCGCGAAAAATGTGATGTTTCTTGAATTTAAAAATTTGAAATTATTTGTGTACTAGATACTCACCCTTGCTTCGCTCGGGTTCGTCCCTAGGTACGTTTTAAGTATTTTGAGCGGAACCCTAATTCTTTTTCTAAAATAAAAGTAGCCTATGTTACTCCATATAACATCAGCTATCTTCCAGTGAAAGTACCGTCAAAACCAGTTCAGCCGTTTCAGAGATTCTCCTGAACAAACAGACAGGCAGACAAATTATAAGTACCTTATATGATTTCATATGCATTTAGTAAAGCGCTGTTATTTTGACATTATAAAAACATTTCTATTTTATTTATCTGTATAGATAAGGATTTAACACCTATTTTTATGATATGCTCACTAGCCTAAAAAAGTAAGGGAACATAAAACATTGTTAATGTGACATTATTAAGCTCGATAAACCTGTCTGTTTATGTAAATATTTTTATATAGTTACATTTTTTGACCGACTTAAAAAAAGACAAGTAAGTTTTATTCAATCAGGTTACACCATGATCAAAATGATGGGCAAATAAGGGAATATACGATAATTAGATTGAAAATTGATATGGTGGTCCCATAACAATTTTCAAGCAAAAAGTCTACCTCTGTGGAGTGAATACCTAAATAACTTAAAAATAAGTACTCATAGCGTAATTAGTTTTGATGTGGGTTTATTATATTATAGTTCGAATCTAAATGAAACAAATATTTAAACGTTGTAAAGCAGAACGTCGAATAATTCTAACATAATCTTAACGAAACGTGTTGTTTACGATAAGCCTGACTGAGCATAATTAGTGATGATTTGCATAACCCTTCCCTCTCTCCAGGCAAATATGAAAGATGCCTAAAGATTAGAGGTTTAATACCTATGCAGTTAGCGTCACGTCAGCTAATTTTTATGTCACGATTTTATTAACACTCGTTACTGTGTTATAAAATCTAAAATAAGATAGTCGATTTTAAACTATTTCTAATTGTCATAAAATATATTTGTTTCAACTTGTAACTATGGAAAATCAGATTATAATATTTTGCTATTGCTATATCGCGTTGATCACTAAATGATCAAGATATATATATATGCTTTATGGAGCTGATCACTAAATCACATTATTAGTTTTAATCGTGAAATAATTTAAGTTATACGTCAACAAGTACACTAATAAACACATAACACAAAACAACAAAATGTAATTGCGCTTTTAACATTAAAAATGTTTTTTTGTCGCTTCAGTCTAGGCCCGATTTTCAGCGAAACTGCGACATCGTCCTGGTATCGTTGATTTTGGGACTATGTGGTTGATCGGGATGTTAAAAGATGCGCCTGAATGAGCGCTACAAAATAAATACAAAAAAAAATGGAAACCACTCAGGGGTATTTCTCCGAGATTGCGTTCTTCGTCTGATTTATCTGGCCAAAAATTATTTTCATTTTTGGCTCTATTCAACATACTCTTATGATTAAAGACATGCCAAATATTAAAGTTTAATCATAAGAGTATGTTGATTAGAGCCAAAAATGAAAATAATTTTTGGCCAGATTAATCAGATGAAGAACGCAATCTCGGAGAAATACCCTCAGGCTTTTTTTTTTAATCGAAAATATGTGATAAATGCATTCGCTTATCCTTCGGTTTCGGTCAGAAAAAAAAATCATATCTCGAAATGAAATAAGATATCGAAAAAGTTAAAAAAAGATATGACTTCGGACTACATTTAAAAAAAATATTAGAGGTTCATGTCACTGATGGGTTATTCAGAAGTTGTACCTTTGTGACGCTGAGTTTACGCGAGGAGAGTTAGTGAGCGCGATAATGACGGTGAATAAATGTTTTGGAGCATGATTTTGATTTTGAACCGAAGTGATTCTTTGTGAATA